TGAGAGTATTTGTTAAAATGTATACCTTTTAAAGGACATGTGTCTACAGTCAGCAGATTAAAAGCTGCTGTGGAGGAGCCACACTGCAGTGGCAGGCATGAGCCAGTTTTCCAAAAGAGATCATTGCACTGACCCTAAGCAGGCTTGTAGTGGCATCATTTCTACTGTGTCGAAAACAGCTGGTGAGGCCTGTTAGCAACCAGGTAGGAGAGTGAGAGAAGAGGACAGCAGTTGTCCTGGCCTTGTCTATATACGTGTGACCCCTGACAGCAGGAGGCTTTCTTGCACTAAGTTTAGGTGCAGATATCAAATATAGGGAGTCCGGTGTCTTCTATAGACAATAGCCTAGTCATTCCCGCAAACCTTGATCCTCTGTAGAATGAAATTTAAATATAGAAAACAGATACACTACTTTTCCATGTGTTACTGAACCCAAACATGTAAGTTGAGGAAAACAGATGATATCCTTTAATAACCCATTTTTTAAAGTGAAGTTTACAGAATAAATTTTCTACCTCTTCATTATGGGTCCAGGAAGTAAACAGATGTCACTTAATTATAAGGCGTGACTCTCTGTGGTGCCAAATACTTTCTTTTCCATTGTGATTAACAGAACAAGCCAAAGTAATAGTCTGTGATGCATGTAAAAACAATTCAATTTCATCACTGGTTTCTGCTTTTCTACAGCAAAGTTTGAAACATTAGGTATCAAAATATTTCTATCAGTAATACTTGGGACTACTTTATATAAAAACTTCTACATGCTGTCCTTTGCAATTTTTTTCTGTCAATAAATATATCCTACTGGACCTTAAAAAAAAAAGGACTTGTGTCTAGAATATATAAAGAACTCTTAGAATAGTAAGAAAACAATCCAAATAAAAATAGCCAAAAGATTTAAGTAGACACTTCAGCAAAGAAGATATAAAAATGACAAATAACACATGAAAAGAAGCTTATTATAATTAGTCATTAGAGAAATAAAAATAAAACCTGGCTAAATACCAGTATCTAAGCCACAAAAATGGATAAAAATAAAAAGACCATACCAAGTGTTAGGAAGAAGAGCAGCTATAATTTGCATACTGGCAGGAATGTAACATCTTGGATAAGTTTGATCATTTCTTAAAATGTTATACATACACTTACTGTATCACCCAGGCTTCCACTACTAGATGTATCCAAAGACAAATAAAAGCCTATGTTTATGCAAAGACTTGTACAAGAATCTTCATAGCCGCTTTATTTATAATAGCTAAATACTGGAGACAATCAATTGTCTACCAACAGGTGAATGGATAAACAAATCATGGTATACCCTTACTATGGACTATTATCCAGCAGTACAAGGGAACAAACTTAATACGTGTAACAATATGACTAAATCTCAAAATAATTACACAGAGTAAAAAATGCCAAGTAGCACACACTCAGTGATTCCATTTATATAAAATTCTAGAAGATGCAAACTAACCCGTAGTGACAAATATCACATGAGTGGTTGCCTGGGGAGTAAAGAGAAATTACAAAGCCTAAGGAACTTCTGGGAATGGTGGATATGTTTCCTATCTTGAAAGCTGTGATGGTTTTATGAGTTTATACGTAGGTCAATTTATCACATTTTATGTTTTAAATATGTGTGGCTTA